CCTTCCATTCACAAAGAGCTAAATTGGCCTTCATTTACAAGATGTATGCTGACATAAAAGGAAGAGGGGAGAGAGAGGGAACAATGAAATGCAATGAGTTAAACTCTGATTATGTACACTTCCAATGTACAACTCTAAATAAATTAATACCAATTTTTGCATATTTTGGGATTCGTATAGCTTATTTACACACATTACCATTTATTCCATAAATATTATGTTTCTTTTTATTCTTTTTAATGTTTTTTTTTAAACCAGTACACAGGTAGGCGTCCAAACAGCGACGGATAAGAAGGTCACAGGGATTGCCGCAGTATTGAACATCTGAATTTTGCTTCATTTTTGTCCAGTGTCCATCTAAGAACAGAGGGTAACTTTGCTTCCCCTCTTACATAGCCAGACTCCCAAACCAAATGTCCCACGTTCAATCTGTTGGAGTTTGTAGACTTAAAAAAACAACAACCACACACCACAAAATAAAAGGAACATCCTCTCCATCCAGTCAACTTGATTTAGATGACAGGGACCAAACCAACACCCATATTTTAAAATGTCGCCTTTACAGGTACAGGTGAGCACAATGCTTTTCTCATGGTGGTGGTTCCTTTATTTTAAAAATGTCTAGAAGCCAACGGCCTGCCTCTGATTACACACTGTAACAGCCTTCGAGATCATCTCCCACCACAACAGCGTTCTAGATTGTCTTGCACCATGGCCGCCTTCTAGATCCTCCATTCGATCATCTCCAGGAGCTTCCACGTTGCCTTTTCTCTAAGAGAGCTGTTGTTCCAGCAAAGGGAGCCGTTGCAAATAACACAGAGGGCCGTCTCTAAATTCCTCCAGAACCAAGGCCAGAGAATATGTGGTTGGGAAGCAATCACTCCAAAAGTTGTGTAACCTAGAACCTAGGGTTGGAATAGTTTTCTCCACCCGATGATGCTGACCCTCCTTCAACCAAGGTGCCATCTGGGTGTCTTTCTTAGGGCGCCATGCCTGGCTGTCCTTATGAGTACTTTCCCTCACTCCACCTTTAACTTCTCTCCTCCTTTTTTGTTGTTGTTTTTTTTGTTTGTTTGAAAAATAAATATTTATACTGTGCTGTACACATCATCTTCTCCCCGGTGTCTCCTCAGCCCTTTCGTGGGGGCCACCTCCCCAGGCAGTTCACTTGGGGGACTCCCTCCCTGGAGAGACCTCCCTTTGGGTTTCTAAACCACTGACCAGTCTTTGGATATTCTGGAGCTCATTGATGGAATCCTTCAAGGACCCCTTCGGGGACAGCGATGCCCCCCGCTGGCTGCCCGTTTTGTGAATGGGAAGATCCGAGAGGGGGCTGGATTCGCGGCTGCTTCCGGGCTTGGAACCTTCCGATCCTGCATTCAAAGTCGTCGGCAGGCCAGTGGTGAGGAGGTTAGTACTGGGAGGAATGGCCACCGGGATCTGGTAGGGGCTGAAACGCAGGCGAGGACGGGCGTTGCTCAAGAAGGGGTTCCGCGATAACGAGCTGGCGGTGGCGGCGCTGGTCGCCGGCATGGCTGAGGCGGCCGCTGCCGCTGCTGCCATATAGGTGTACGGGTAAGGAAAGAGTCCACCAAAAGTAGGCACCGGGATTCCCTGAAACGACAAAAGGAACATGTGAGATTCCATACAGAACTGCCAGGGCTGTTATTAGAACAGAGTGGCCCCCGAAAAGGCCCTGTTTTGAAGCAACAGGAAGTAACCTTCCGTTTCCTTAAACAACAACACACCTTTTCTAGCCTAAAAGAAGTGCAGGGGGGAAAGACATTTTATCGAGAGGGTACATTGGGCTCCTCGGCTCTTCTGGGCATGCCCCTTTCCAAGTTTTGAAGCTCAAATAGAGAGAGGTTTGCGCAGCCTCAAAATGGTTACCAGACCATCAGACATTGCCGCCCCGCCGAGTTGAAGAAATGCGCTCAGCACCCAAACTGAACGATGGGAACAGATTTATCTTCTTACAAGAGAAGGTTTCACCTTGTGAACTTACTAACCATGAAACTTGAACATGGGAGGTACTGATCAGAAGTTACGGGCAAAGAACTTCCCTTTACCAGTAATAGAGGCATAACTAAAGTTATAACACAGCAAAGGAGAACAGCTTCTTTTTTCTGTTTTGCTTTTCCTTGTCTTAGTTACTTGCATACTTAACAGAAGATCCTCTATTATTCAACCATTAAAAGGAATGGTCAATAATTGCTTCGGCAAAGATTTCTTATTTTTAAAGAAATCTCATTTTGTGTGTGTGTGTGTTTTTAACACACCTACTTGTGAGACTGGGGGTGCAAACCCTCACATTACTGCGGAGGGCAGCTGGAAAAAAAAATAGGAACCTCTTAACGCTGAGGTAAGTGGAGTAATAAACAGCAGTGTTATGCTCATAGCAAAACCGTACTGATTTCAGCAAGAAAGCATACATGACGGTGGGCGTGTGTGTGGTGCTGCAGATGCCATTGGACTACATATCCCATCAGGCCTGCCCAGGAAAGCTCTCAGTGGGGGATGCTGTTTGTTGAAATCCCACGTTAATTTGGAGGGCCGAGTCTCCAGAGCAGCTGTGTGAGTTTGACTCAGGACAGTGGTAGCATATTTTAAAAAATTTTAAGCTCCCCTCCCCCCCGGGAAGAACACAATTGGTGCTACCTAACTTTCTCGCAGTCAAAGGAGAATTTTGAAACCCGGGTTCAGTCTAATTCGAACTTAAATGGCTTAGTTATTGTTTTATTTCCTGTCTTGTTTTATCCCTCTGCCATATTTTACCGCTGTTATCTCACCCCGTTTTAGAATTCCCCTACAGAGCAGCCGGGGATGAGGGAAAGCCCAAGAATTTATAATAAAATCAAGAAATAGATGGCTTACAGTCAGCTTTGCTGTGGCCACCAGCAAAGTGTGTGAGATTTTGAGGTAGAGAAAACAATCATCTGCAATCATCTGCACAGCTGTACAGCAATTAAGATAAAACTTGCTGTGCAGAATATCAGTCTGGAGCCACCTCTCTCTCTCTGTAAGTGTTTCTCAAAATAGGTCAGACATTTCGTCTATATAGCGCTGCGAGTGTTGTCGGGTGCTAGATCGCTCTCGGGCAGAGGAGGATTTACCCCACGCCGTGCACAAACTCAGTTCTGGAAAGGGCCACCAAACAGAGCAAAATCCCACACAGCTGCTTCCTGGACAGGCTGGTGCAACTCATTTCTATGCAACAGCTTCTTCGGTCGCAAAGCACAGTTTGGTTCCACGAAACCATATCGTAGGCTGCAAAAACCCAGCTCCCTTTGGCATAACAGCATCCGGTGTAGAAAAGCAGAGAGGCCCCTTTCTAAGCAACAGCGTCCAGGACGATATAGCAAAGTTCACATCAAGCGACGCAACAGCTTCCCGGTCAGCAAAGCACAGCTCAGCTGCACAGAACTGTGCTTTGCCGCATTCAAAAACAAACAAACGAAACAAAGTACAGTTCCATGCAACAGCTTCTTGGGCTACTAAGGAAAGTTCAAGACCACATAATATCTTCCTGGGGTTTAAACAGGAGCATCCTGCAGTCCGAAAACTCCATGAGCGAGAAGTTCCCTATATTTGCCCAGTGCCTAAATCCCTCTAACTTAGTTTTCTTTGATCTGGAAGGCAGAATATTTTTCCCCCATTTGCCTCCTATCAGGAAATATTTGACCTTCTCTCCTACTCCACATAAACAAGTCATGGGCAAGCTGAAGATGCAGTAGGAAATGGAGGGCAACCCGTTAGGACAGATGCGTTAACCCTCCTAATGAGAACATCAGAGTTGCGGTTCACAAAGTTGGGCGGTATACAAATCCCACAAATAAGTAAAATAAATAAAATAAAATAAAATAAATGCATCTTGTTCATGTCAGTTTTTCTGGCAATGGTGGATTTTATCAAGCCAAAACCAACACTACCCACAGGGGGGAAATGGGTGGGAATATCAAGAGAATACAAAATGGCCGAACAAGGACTGAGCATGCTCAGCGGCAGCAGGAAGATGGCTGACCGGGAGGGGAGAGGGACAGTGGAGATGAGTGGGGAGAGAAAGCCTATGGCTGAAACCTAGAACCAAAACAGTTGGTGCTGCAACATTTAGTTGCAGCTCCAGCTAGTTCTTTCGTGGGACGCTTATCTCTGTCTGAGCTTCTTCTTCTCCCCTTGTGGTCCATGCCATATTTGACCCTAAGGAAAATGGCACAAGAATGTGTCCTACTGCTTAGTAAAAAAACATCTCAGCCAAATTGCAGTGACTCTGTTATGCCAGTGGTTCTTAACCTTTTTGAAAGAAATGCCCCCTTGAGCCATTGAGGAAGTTATCATCGCCCCCCTCCCCGCAGTGATGATATCTTATTTATTTATTTATTTATTTATTTATTTATTTATTTATTTATTTATTTATTTATTTATTTATTTATTTATTTATTTATTCATTCATTCATTCATTCCTCTGTCTGAGCTTTTTCTTCTCCCCTTGTTGTCCACGCCATATTTGACCCTAAGGAAAAGAATGTGTCCTACTGCTTAGTAAAAAAACATCTCAGCCAAATTGCAGTGACTCTGTCTGTTATGCAATACAAAGAATTAAGGCAGTAAGTTTTGCAATTAAAACTTTAAAATAATAATAATAATAATAATAATAATGCTAGCCACCTCCAATTTTAAATGGGTGTAGTAGCATTAGGACTCAAAATTCGTGGCAACTATCAATGGGTTTGCGTAATTCCATGAGCACCCAAAACAAAATAGTTTCCCAGTTTTTGTGATGGCCGAGCAAATATACAATTCGTTTTAAAAAGCAGCAGCTCATCTTAAGCAAAAGCATGTAAAATAAAATTCCGACCATGTGACTTTTTAAATGACAACGTCAATGACCAACTGCGTGACTTAATCCAATTTTACGCTTTGCTTTTAATTCGTAGCCTGTCCTAATGGTGCGTGTTCTCGTGGAAGCGATAAGCACAATTTTATTTGAAGACGGCCTCTGAAAGGTTTAATTGATTAATCGGTTTGAGAGCCCCAATTGGTGAAAGTGTGAAGGACGCTCCTTTCCATTTTCTGGAGCTGTTTTGATCCTCCAGTGGGTCTGGGACAGAAAAACAAGACAGAAGTTTTGGAGCCCCAATCGGTGAAAGTGTGAATTAAAGGACGCTCCTTTGCATTTTCTGGAGCTGTTTTGATCCACCAGTGGGTCTGGGACAGAAAAACAAGACAGAAGTTTTATTCTGAAATTTTAAAAAAACAAACTGGCTCAATTGCAAATTATTCTTGAACTTCTGGGGAAAGAAAGCATCTGTTATTTATTTATTTATTTATTTATTTGATTTGGTAAAGTGCAGAGTAAGGTAAATGAAAGCGGAGAAGGCAAATAATCAATCGTTGACTTGGGCCTTTAAATCAGTTGTGAGGAGCCCTCTCTTTAGAGAATGTGTTTTTTAGCAAATTCTTGTCATGTGTGGTTTTAGAACAAGAGTGGTTGAAGTGTGGTTGTCGGACATAACACAGCCCATGGAAGCAGTAGGACACCCAACCCTTACACAATTCTGAGAGCTTTTCTTGCAATACAAACACGGATCTAGGGAAATCAATTTGGACCACAAATTGGTCCACAAATTTCCTAGCCAGAGGGGCCGAAGGTTGTGCTGCTGGGGAAACTCTGGAACGTGGAGTCCAATTCCCCGCCCGAGTTTCTGTTGTGAGTACGGCAAGCACATATACAGGAGTACCTCAGTTCACGAAATTAATGCGTTCTCCAGGACGTTACATAACGTGAAAAATTCGTAAACCGAAACACAGTTTGCCATAGGAACGGGGGCACCGCTATAAACCTCCAGGCACCAGGGATCCTGGGGAAACTTGTTTCATATTGTGAAAAAAATTGTAAACTGAGGTAAATTTTCAATGGATTTCCGTTTGTAAACCAGAAATTACGTTAACCGAGGCGTTTGTAAACCGAGGTACTACTGTACGTAGAGAGCAATCCACCTTTCAGGTAACCAAAAGTCATCCGCCTGGTAGCGACCTTTATTCGCCGTAGGTGACTACGTGTATGGTTAATTTTGAACAAATCGTAAGCCCCTCAATGCCTTCCTGGCAGTCACCTTCCCGTTCTACCTTTCCCCAGTTTAAACAAGATATTGCAAAACGCATTATGAGTGACAGGAACTGTTCTCACCAATCCTTGTTATTTTTGAATCAAAGCTAACCAATAAAAACACCTTTGTCAAACCCAAAAGCATGTCTTTCTGCAAAGATCTGTCACGACTCTGATATTTCTTTAAAGAAAAAATAAAGCGTGAACACTTTTGAAAGCAAACATGACAATATACAGTCACGCTGGTTTCTCCTCTTTTGAGAAATACCGCAAGCCAGGTGGATGAAAATCAAATTGATTTAAATCAGGATTTATATTTTAAACACTGATTTTTTAAAAAAAATTTAAATTGTAAGGAAAAAAAATCATTTAAAATTGAAATCAAATGTGCCCTCAATAGATTTCACTAGCGTTTAGAACTTTATTGGACTACAACCCCCAGAATCCCCCAGTTAGACCAAAACCCTGTCTAGTTCTGCATTCTGCTCTCACTGTAATTAACCAGGTGCTCATGATAAGCTCCCAAGTGCAATAGCGCTGTTTCACTTTGCATTCCCCAAGGTACTGCCTACAGACAGCCATCAAGAGAGTCTTAAATCTCCATGAAACTATGTAATTCTCTTTTAATTCAAGAGGGAGATCAGGGCAGATCTGTCGATCCAAACATGTTTTCTGAGTCGGAAGGATTGAAAGACAACCAACCCAGCTAACGTTGGAAGCGCCTAGACCAAACCCCAGCTTATTTCCGCCAGAGAAAAACAACACAACTATCACAGGAATCCCTATCAGTCATTCCTATAAAAGCCACAATACAGAAGGTGGATGTTATTTAGGCCCATTATACAGAGGGAAAAGTTGAGGCTGGGCCAGAACAAGAGCAACATCTCCATCAGCAACCACCGAACTTCACAACTCACACCTAGCTCAGAAGTCAGATCACTAAAATCTCTGTATCCTGACCCATACAGGTGATGAAGGAATATTTTACAATATAACCACTTATATTCAGGCATTGATATCTGCTCCCAGCTATGCAGGGTTTTATGCAGTTAAGATGTCCGGTTCAGCCATCTGCATATTTTGGCATTTCCTCCACAGGGCTGAAATTTGAATAACAACTTCATCAGAGATGTGAAGATAGATCTCCACTGAACATATTCATTATTGATTATCTTGGGAGCGACTTGCCACTCTACGGGAGAAATTTCTGTTATAAATTCTCCTGTAGCAGATAAAACACCACAGGGTGTTGTAATCCACCCATTAGCAGATAACTGGTTTTTAATTACTGACAGGGCGGCACCGTTTGTCCAGACGCTGGAAAAATGTACTCACACTTTTTCTCACAAGCGGTGGATATTCTTTATTTGATTTCATGGCCTCCTACGAGAGAGCCGAGTTATCAGGAGTGGGTGGGTTAAACTGATGTACTCATTTCCGCTTGGTTACCACAAGTAGACCGAAGTTTGTTCTTTCGTCGGTTTTCTCCCCAAGCAATTTGGTTGGGCCGAGTTTTTAAAAAATGTCTCAAAAGCCATCTCACTGCGTTTGCTGGCCAACTAATATATCCCTAAGATTGCAGCCTTCACCTCTCTGGCAAAGAGTGGGCGGCTCAGCTAGGGGCCCCGGTCCATGCATTGTGAGAAGACCGGATTCTCTAGAAAAGGCAATCATGCCAGAAAAGGTGGGAAGCAGCAGGAAAAGAGGAAGACAAAGTAGGAGATGGACGGACTCCCTAAGGGAAACCCCAGGTTTGAGTTTGCAAGAGATTTTGGAGATGGCTCCTTCATCGAGTTGCCATAAACCAAGGATGACTTGACAGCGCATAACAATAACAACTCCGTTACCCTGAATACCAGTCCACGGTGGCCCGGCTTTTCTCTTACCTGAGAAGCCAACATGTGCTGGGAGAGATGGAAGGGGAAGGGGGTGGCTGTGCCGGCCGGCCCTTGCGCCGCCGAAAGCCCCCCGTTTTCCAGGCTTCCTCCGCCCGCCACGGAGGCCAGCAAGTGTCCCATGCCCATGGCAGAGAAGGCGCCGGGCGCCATGGCGAACTGTCCCGGGTGGATGAAGAAAGGCTGCCCGGCATTCAAGGGATTGAAGAACTGCTGCCCGTGGAGGCCGGAAAGGGCCAGACTCTGCAAATGCCCAGCGCTCAGGTGTGGGGGGCTGTCCGTCTGTACCATCAGAGGCGCGAAAGACTCCTTGCTGGCCCCCAGGGGGGCGCAGTCGCCGGGACCTTCTTTCTTGGACCCTTCCTGCGAGGGCGCTTGGATCAGCGAGTCCTTCCTCCTACCCTCCACTTTGTCTTTCTCCAAGGCCAAGGGGCTGAAGACGGCCCCTTCGCCGCCCTCTTTGGGGGTCTCTTGGCCTTTGCCCCTTCCTCGCTCTTTGCTCCTCTCTTCTCCCGGCAGCCGGGGGCTGAGGCTGCTGCTCCGAGGGCTGCAGGTGCCAGGATCCGGGCTGGGCCTCTTTCCTTCCGGGGCTTTGTCCAGCTCCTGATCGCTGCCTTTCTCTTCTGTACGGGCCAAGAAAACAACAACAACAAAAGACAAACAATGAATCCTTCCATACTAGAATTGTGTTTTTTAAAGGAAATTTGCCTAGAGCAAGCTGCAGGGGTGTTTTTCTCACCCCATCATTGTCATCACATATTGTTGCTGAGTGGTTTTACCCTTGTCACCCTCAACGGTGAATTTCCAAGGCTGAGCAGGATTTGAACCCAAGTCTCTGGAATCCTAGCGCAACCCACTATCCAGTACTCCACACTGACTTTTATTATGTAATACTTGTATGCTGCCTCTGGCTAAGGCCACAGGCGTGAGTGGGGGAGGTAGGGTTAATCTAAAAAAGGGGCAAAGCCCGAAGAGCCCTAATCGACACGCTGCCATTGCTTTATTAGGATCAACTCTAAATGCACAAAATGTGCAAGCTTTCAAGTCATACAAAAATCTTCATCTGGAAAGACAGTAAGAAACTGGGGTGAAGAATTACATTTCCTGACCACTCCGTCATCCAGAACAGGGCCGATCCACTTACAACCAAAGTGTGCTACTTCTGCTTCTTGTTTATCCAGAAAAAAAAATCACATGAGATCTTTTTATTTCTTTTTTTCTCTCCCCTCAATCCATCACATGAAATAGGAGGGGGAAACAAAGCTATCAGACCCATAGATCTATGGGAAATTTACTTTCAAAACAAATTCTTAAAAAAAGAAAAGAAAAGAACACGTGTCCATGGCAAGTGGACTCCAGGGGACTAGAATATTAAATAAAACTGAGGAAGAGTGGGAAACCGGTGGCCCAGCAGCCCCAACCAGCATTGCCAAGGATGATGGGAGTTGGAGTCCCACTACTTTTCGGGGGGAGAAAGGGCAATAGATTGGGGGAGATTGCCCTAGACTGGTGCAGCTAAAAGCAGTTTTGCTCCTTGCCTCAGGCAGCAAAAAGACTTAGGAGGCACCTGTGCGTGGATTAAGACCTGATGCGATCTAGTCAGTTAAATTTAAACTCTCCAGAGTAGAGACCTCCGCACGGACGGTTGTAAAGAGAGGCCATTTTTAATACCTCCCTTCTGAGTGCAGAATAAAGAACCGGAACACGGCACACGTTTACTGTAACGCATCTCGCTCCCCAATTCCCCCAAGGCAAGCCCGCGTTGCTCTTAAAAGTACAGGCCAGAAGGACTCATATTTGAGCCGATCAATGAATGCACGCTTAGCAAGTTTCCTTGAATGAAAGTTTGATTTACAACCGGATTGTCCATGCTTCTACTCAGGAGTCAGTCCGAAATCTATGTACTCGCACGCGTACATTAAATACTCTCAAATCAATGTTATGCCATTGATCTGGCCATCCATCGACTCATTCCAAGCTCTTCCTCCTCCGCCAGGCAGGCGTAAAAAGATGGCAACCACTTTCAGCCGCTCACTGGTGCTACTCAAGACACCTTGATCCTTATTTGCAAGCCGACGGGGGCAGAGACCTTAACTTCGGCTTGTTTCATTTTCCGCACGGTTAAGAGTCTTCAAGAAAGTTTCACAGTTTCATAACACTGCGATAAAATGCCTCGGCTGGTCTCTGTGGTTGATCCAAGCGTGCAGCAAGGAAGAGATATAAAAATGCTGAACACTTAAATGGAAAGAATCGTTTATCTTTCTGGACCAGAAACAAAAAAGTGAGTTTGCAGCAGCCAGTAGAGGGCAGTAGAGAATCAGGCCACTTCTTCTGGCAGGGACTATCCACAGTGGTGAGGCCACCATAAAAAGAGGGAGAGATGATAAAATATAGATATTTCCCCCCTCTTAATGGAGAACTGACATCTCAAATCATCTAAAGGGAGAAGAAGTTTCTTTTTATTTTTTTTAATGATCATTTTTTCAAGAGCGAAAAGGCACAAGGAATGTAATCCACTCCTCGCAGAAGGAAAAAAATTCTGTTCTCCTTTGCTTTTGTTGAAATGAGAAAGCGAAATTAAAACTGAGTCATAGAAGGACTGTATCTGGCACTAAAGGTGGGAGCAGGAGTCATGAATAAACGTTTTTTTGCGAGTGCCAAAGAGTTTTGTGAGATTTACTGCCAAGCTCTCAGCTCCTGGTCTCATCATGTTTACTCATACGTAAGGGCCTTTGTTTCCTGCACGACTACCTCCTAAGCAGGTCTGTGCATTCCTCCTTCCTTAAAAATTCAGTCCTTAGATCAGGGGTGGGCAACTGGCAGCCCTCGTGAGGTTACTGGTCTGCTACAGCCTTGGCCCAAGAGGACATACTCACTGGTGAGGCATATGGGGAGCTGGCATTCCACTACATCCGTAGGGCCAGACTGTGCTCACCCCAGCACAAATATAAGCCTGGGAATTGCACGCCAGCCTCCAGCTTGCTTCCAAAAGTAGCTGGATCGGGTGGGTACATCCGGAGATACAGATATTGAACTCTTCAGCGATTGACTAACTGGATGCAAGGAAACCAGGGCATAGTCTCCGGATTGCACAAACCCGTCTTTGGAATAGAGCTAAATCTATTACAACTTCCCCCTCCCACACACAAAAAAATCTTTTTGGATTGTCTTACATCTTAAAATTACAAAGGCTTAGATTTTGCAGCTTGGGTTTGCACAGGGAAAGCAGGCGAGCGCTCTAAAAAAAGGAACAAATGTTCTGTGTTCATTCGCCAGGCAAGACAAGCACATCAATAAAACCTGGTGTTTGTTCATCAGCTGGGTGAAGAGAGCGAACAGGAATCACAAACCGCTGAACGACCGCCACAACGATCCAGGCAAGGCGGACGATGAAAAAGGCACAGAAAAGCTTGCAGGTTTTTCCTCTATATCATCATTATCATTGGACCTTTTTCAGGGCTTTCCAGCTAAAGAATACACAGATGTGGTTTGCCATTCCCTTCTTCTGGGGGAAATCCTGGGACTGTCCAGCTTGCCCAAGGCTACACAGGCTGGCTCTGCTCCCGGAAGGCTCAGTGGGGAATCGAACCCCTAACGCCTGGCTCCGCAGTCAGAGACCTAAACCCCTAAGCTATCCAGCCAGCTTTATGTAGGAATATAGGTGATGAGATTTATATCTTGGCCAACCGGACTAGCTTCGATTCGACTTCCTCCTCGCCTTTTACAGGGAAGGAATATCCTAAACATATTTATTCAGTTCCATTGACTGGAATACAGCGTACAGTATTCATACCACTCTAAGCACAGATTGTCTCCTCTTATTTGGGAAGCTAAGCAGGGCCTGGCCTGGTCAGTAAATGGATGGGAGACCATGACAGAAACTGGATTTTTACAGCTTAACAACTAATTTTAGTCACAAGCTCAATAATAATAATAAT